TGACGAGTCCATTCAGGTATGATAATCAAATGATACCAATTGCGCAATAAGATGTAGTTTCAGAATGCAGCAAAAAAAAAAAAAAAACGAAGAATAGGAAGTCGCATATAATTGAGACGTCATTTCAAATTGATACTATTTCCGTGAAAAAAATGTGCTTCTCCTGAATCTAGTCATATTATTCAATGCAATGCATTCCCGAAAATATAAATGTATTTCTGTATTTCTTAATCGAAATAATGTTGGTAAATCACAACTCACTGCAATACCATGCGTCCATAAAGAAAAGGTACGCCCACTGCCTTAGTTTTAGCGCATGGAGCGAAATAGTTACCTCACAGCAAATGTAAGTGTGACCCCATCAGATTTATTAAAGATACGCCCACTGCCTTAGTTTTAGCGCATGGAGCGAAATAGTTACCTTACAACAAATGTAAGTGTGACCCCATCAGATTTATTAAACGTGCGCAGTGAAGTTCATTTGTTCTGTGCCTTTATTAAAGAAGATATTCATGTGTCACTCAAAATATGAGATATTCATTGTATTCGAATTGTTATAACGATGTATGTTATCTTGCAGTGTAATTTGTTCCTGTGTTAGTGATATAAGTTCTTATTTTTAGCGAAATTTGAATTTAATGATAATTGTCATGGGAACCCAAGCATGAAGAGCTAGGCCTCTATTATTTTTGTTACTTTTTGAGATTCAAGCCCAAAAGGCACGACTGGTTCATAACATGGAAAACGGAATAATGATGTATGTTATCTTGTATTGTAATTTGTTCCAGTATTTTAACGAATTTAAATGATGAAATTATATTCAATTGAATGTTAAATTGTAATTAGGGGCCTATACCCTTTTTTAGAATTGTAGCAACAGTTGAGCGTGTGTGCTTTCAGCATTTGGTCAACTTTTGTCATCATTTTGGATTTCGTCAAAACAAGACTACAATTTATTTTATTTTGTTGTGCCAGGCGACAGTTCCGGACATTGAATGTCACTGTTGTCCCTCCTGACTTTTTTTGTGTAAGTGCAAATTGAAAGTGCTAGTGCTGACACATAGTGCATTTTGCCACAGAAGTCATTTCCTGTTTGGAACTACATGACAGGGCTGTGTGGCCATCTCCCAATCTCGTCAACCAGGCCCGGTCGAACACAAGCACCTGCGGACCTTAACCAAGGTTCCCCCAAAGTCGCATTCGTTAGTGAATGAATCTCGGCCAGTGGAAATGACCTTCTCATTTAGTCTGTGGCACACTCACCCAGATATAAGTAAAATAAAAAGTACATACATACATACATAGTCACGTGGACTCAACAATAAGTAAAACTGTCATACCTGAAACACTGTTGCAGACCAGGACAGGCAACCAATGCTATATGACGGCATCAAACAAGAGGTGTGGCTAACATAAAATATGACCAGATACGATCGTCTGACCTAACTAATAAGAACATGGCTCTTTATATATTCAGTAAAAATATATATTTATACCCGAACTAGGTACATGGAGCTAACTACATTTGAACTCAGGGTATTGACAAGTCAAATAATCCTAATTGTAACACATGAGCCAATTATTTGTGAAATAGATGCTTCAAAGCTTTGACCCACTGATATTCGACAAGAAATAGTGTCGCTACAATACGCGGTGAAATGACATAAAGAAATAATAACATATCTAACATACGTTCTACATAAATTCGCAACATAATATTATATAGAAATAGTTTTTGGGTTTCCAATAGATTCGTGTTGGAATTCACAGTGGTCCTGTAGTGGCCGGAGTGGTAGGCCAGAAGATGCCTCGATATTGTCTATTTGGAGATACGGTTAATACAGCGTCCAGAATGGAAAGCCATGGAATCAATGGGAAAATTCACACAAGTCCAAACTCATATAAGTAAGTTATTATTATGAATAAATTACGATCAGTAGATTAAGTAACGCAATGATTGAATTTAAAAAATGTCTTGAGATCATCTTTCGTTGGGACATTTAGCACGTTGATATGTTCTTGTCTTAATTACACCCTGTGTCAGATATATACAAATATGTATTTACTTAAGTGGTTCAACATTACATAACTCTAGCTCTAATCACACATATTCAAATATTAAACTTGGAGAGGATGTAGCGTAGACTAATTCATAGTGATGTACTAATTTGTTACATCTGTTAATAAATATCGGTCATCAAACTTATACATGGTAGATGTGTTCATCATTTCTATGTGCACGCTATATTGAAATTTTTGTTTGCGAATAAAAGACGGAGATTTGCGCAGTTATATAAGCATAACATCGCCGCCCGGGCCTATTTTCAGGCAATAATGAACATTACAAAGCCCTTTTTTTCGGTTATCTCTAAATTATTTTAATATGCGGGTAGTGGTGGCTCACCAGCAAACACGCCAAAGCATGATCATATTTTTTGCCGACGAAAACAACAATAATCTCGTGTTCTTGCACTGATTACTGATCAGCACATGGCACCAAACGACCAAAGAGAACACGCCATCGTATTAAAATGCTGTCTAATACATTATTCAAAATGCAGTACGGGTTTATGCGAACACTATGAAAAATGTACATATGAATCGAAATGACAGCATACAAGCAACGACAGTATGACTTTAAAGACATAATCGAATGATTTCTATAAAAGTGTTATTCCTCACAAGATTACATTGAGGCACGTGTCTGTAAGATACGGACGATAACGAGTTTACAGAAAGATAAGTTTTCCTTTCTCATTTTAAAAACAAGCGTCGTCATGTTCACTAGTAAATGTATAATATACTAAGTGGTAATCTGAAATAGTGGTAATCTGTTCAGATTACTTTTAAGTGTACAGCTTATTGTGTGTTATTATAGATGTAATATTCTCCTGATTAAAGAAGATTTGCACTAGGCGGATTCAATGTAAACTCATCCTGAATCTCTTAGCACCATCCATTTCGTTTTTGTTATTCCCTTTTTTTAATTCAGACACATTCACAATCAGGCCGACTACTACGAACAAGCGATGACACTTTCCGTGTCGGACATAAATAATTGTGCTCAATTACGCATTCCAGAGTTCAAATCAAAGTGTTTGTTGTAGTGATCCCATTATGGTATTGAATAAATATTCCCCTGGGCGTTGTGCGCGTTATAATATTTATATCTCACTATATTGTTTTTAATGATGAATCAACAATTGTCAGGATTTGGATGGTATGTTTTTAGCTTCGATGTTTCACATAAATGAAGAAATAAACAGATTAATGTTGCCGCTTTTCTTCTATTTGTGAATTAAGCTATTCCTTATATTGACAGGATTTTGAAATCAAATAAAGCATACACATTTGAAGAACGTGGCGAGATTGAGGTCAAGGGTAAAGGGAAACTGTTCACTTATTTCTGTATGGCAAATACATCCCTATCTGATCTACAACTTATGGGCGAAGACTGGGATCAATTTGAAGTGAAATCGAAGAATAGCGATAACATACTTCCACTATGGGCTGATAAATCAAATAAAGGTAAATTTAGTTTCATATATAACACAGTTTAAGATTTGTGCGGTTATACAAACACATAGAATTGCATAATGCCTTAACCATTTGATTTATATGATGCATTCATCTGTATTAAAGCATATGTCGAAAATACATCCGATGCAATTATTGATTTCGATGTACCGCATATTTAATATTGTATTGTAAGTGTCCTCTAATTCGATTTATTTTTTACAGGTCAAGTCAAACTAGATGTTTCTAAAAATGGTTTTCAAGATCAGGTGGAGATGTCTGTAAAATGTGGCGATGTGGTGGAAGAAATCAATCAAAAAACAGATGTTAGTGAAGTTAATTTAAAAGGAAGCAGTAGAGAGAAATCAAATGGTAACACAGGAAATGAAAGCAGCTCCTCAAGTGAAACCGAAGATCAGTCAATAGTTAAACTCGTGAATTTCAAAGATCGAACCAGTGAAGATAGATTGTCTAGGCATAGTATATGTGGAGAAACCATGTCTTCAAGAAAGGTTGAAGAGAAATGTGATCGACGTGACGGTTCAACGACATGTGTTGTTTTGTGACGCCACGCATTTATGTCTAACATACACTTATCTAACAACATATACATATAAACTAACATTGGTCGGTTTGATGCAATTTGTTATCAATGTGTGCATGAGAAAATATGGATCCAGAGAGAGGTGTTAGAGAGTTCAATAAACAGGTAATGATAACTATAATTAGACAGGTCACATGTACCATATTCAGAAAGATTATCAAGTGTAACTGGTCGAGAAACTCTGTATGGCTTAAAACATTAAAAGGCATATATAAACTTATCATTTTGTCCATACCGGCATACAATCCTAAGAACAGTATGTCCGGGTCAAATGGGAACGGATTAGGAGAACATGAATCAGGATAGGAAATTAGAAGGATGAAAGGGTATGTGAGTATTACAGATATTTATCCTATTTCATTTCCTGTGAAATTAACTTATTACTTGGGGAGTAAATCCCACTAAGTAGTGAATAATACAATAATGAAAAGTGATCGGGAAACATGGGCTGTGGAGTTCTTGTGGAATACATTTTAAATTTAATAAGCTTTTTCAGCAATTTTTAATGGACGTAACTATATATTGTTACACCAAATACAATGTGAACTTTATGACATGAAAATTCAGAAACAGCACACTGAATGATTGTCATGTAAAAGTGCATTTATAGCATCTTTGTTGACTCGCTTTTGTTTAAGCTGCTAACAAGCTATCATTATATTCTCATTACGTACTGTGAATTGTAGAACTAATTTTACTGTGTATATGTATAGGATGTTATTTTCATATTAATAATTAAATTTAACTTTTAGTAGTCTTATGCGTTGTAGGTAAATATTGTCAATGAAAGTTTGATATCAAACTCATATATTTACTTATTAGTACAGGAACAAAGTTTTATTATTTTTGCTCAGCGGGTTACATGCATGTACGTATATATAATAACACGATATTTGCGAATAGAATGACGTCAGCAGAAACGAGTTTTTCACTCAAACGCCTTGCCTACACTGTATGCGGATTCGTCATAATTACTTAAGTTCTTGAACATTGTTTAACACAATTTTTAACCGAGGGACTGAATACTAATTACTAAAATGCACAGGCGAACTTGCAAGAAAGAATCACTGTTACCATGATCCGCAGTTATCGGTCCGTACATATTGCCGGATGTGACGTGACTCTGAGGTGATATGGGTGACTGATCTGTCCTGTGTTACATCACAGTGTGGTGATATAGGTTTTTGATCTGTCCTGTGTTACACCACACTGTGGTGATATGGGTTTTTGATCTGCCCTGTGTTACATCACACTGTGGTGATATGGATTTTTGATCTGCCCTGTGTTACCTCACACTGTGGTGATATGGGTTTTTCATCTGTCCTGTGTTACGTAACACTGTGGGGATATAGGTTTTTGAGCTGCACCCTGTGTTACGTCACACTGTGGTGATATAGGTTTTTGATCTGCCCTGTGTTACATCACACTGTGGTGATATGGTTTTTTATCTGCCCTATGTTACATCACGCTGTGGTGATATAGGTTTTTGATCTGCCCTGTGTTACCTCACACTGTGGTGATATGGGTTTTTCATCTGTCCTGTGTTACGTAACACTGTGGGGATATAGGTTTTTGATCTGCACCCTGTGTTACATCACACTGTGGTGATATGGGTTTTTGATCTGCACCCTGTGTTACATCACACTGTGGTGATATGGGTTTTTGATCTGCCCTGTGTTACCTCACACTGTGGTGATATAGGTTTTTGATCTGCCCTGTGTTACATAACACTGTGGTGATATGAGTTTTTGATTTGCTCTGCGTTTCATCACACTGTAGTGATATGGGTTTTTGATCTGCCCTGTGTTACATCACATTGTTATGATATGGTTTTTGATCTGCCCTGTGTTACATCACACTGTGGTGATATGGGTTTTGGATCTGCCCTGTGTTACATCACACTCTGGTGATATAGGTTTTTGATCTGCCCTGTGCTTCATCACACTGTAGTGATATGGGTTTTCGATCTGACCAGTGTTACGTTACACTGTGGGGATATAGGTTTTAGATCTGCCCCGTGTTGCATCACACTGTGGTGATATGTTTTTTTTTCTGTCCTGTGGTACATCCCACTGTAGTCATATGGGTTTTTTATCTTCCCTGTGTTACGTAACACTGTGGTGATATGGGTTTTTGATCTGCCCTGTGCTTGATCACACTGTAGTCATATGGGTTTTTGATCTGTCCTGTGTTACATCACGCTGTGGTGATATGGGATTTTGATCTGCCCTGTGCTTCATCACACTTCGGTGATACGAGTTTTTGATCTGCCCTGTGTTACATCACACTGTGGTGACATAGGTTTTTGATCTGCCCTGTGTTACATCACACTGTGGTGATATGTTTTTTTGTCTGTCCTGTGTTGCCTCACGCTGTGGTGATATGAGTTTTTGATCTGCCCTGTGTTACATTACACTGTGCTGATATGGGGTTTTGATCTGTCCTGTGTTACATCACATTGTGATGATATGGGTTTTTGTTCTGCCCTGTGTTACATCACGCTGTGGTGATATGGGTTTTTGATCTGTCCTGTGTTACATCACACTGTGCTGATATGGGGTTTTGATCTGTCCTGTGTTACATCACATTGTGATGATATGGGTTTTTGTTCTGCCCTGTGTTACATCACACTGTGGTGATATGAGTTTTTTATCTGCTCTGTGTTACATTACACTGTGCTGATATGGGGTTTTGATCTGTCCTGTGTTACATCACATTGTGATGATATGGGTTTTTGTTCTGCCCTGTGTTACATCACGCTGTGGTGATATGGGTTTTTGATCTGCCCT